AGTGTTTTCTACAGTCACTGCTTTCTTTTCTTTAGCCGTAGCCTATTAGGTCTTCACCAGAGAACCCAAGAGGAGTTTTCCTGACACATAAGGATAACTCTTAAAACAAGAACCTCAAGCTTCAAACATACACAGAACAGTTGGTGAAAAGGTGACGCTCATTTTCCTAGAGCAGCAAGTAAGCAAGGTCGAAATATGCCACAGTCAACGGATTTACATTCAGCAAACACTGTTAGGTGAGGGGCTTCCCTTTTATTTTTAAAAATAGATTAAGCAAGCATATTAATTTTTCACTGGCCACTATAAATAAATGGAACTACAAAATACTTTCTTTGCAAGGGGATTCTGGCCAGGCGCTGTGAGCCTGACCCCAGTGGGAAGTGTATTTACGTTGCGCGAGGCCTCATTGTGTGCTGGTGGGAAAACACTTCTCACAAACCTCCCATTCAAGGGAGGCCTCCACAATAGGTGCTCACACAGGAAGCAGGCCTCACTAAGAGCACCTCAGACTGTTCCAGAGAGAACTTTCCAAGGCAGGCGACGGTAAACCACTGTAAATGCCGTGTTCACAGGCCCCAACTGCCTACACTTCAGGGTCAACAAAGCTGGTATTGTCCACAATCAAGCCCCCAAGTTCTTCCCAAGGTTAAAGGGAAGCAGTCGACAAGTACATATCATTTTGTAGCTAGTCTCTCAGGGTATCACTTGGTTTAAAAAAAAGTCACAAGGACATGACATTTGCTTTTCTCAAAAAAACTGGAAAATACTCCTAAGAAGCTATTGCTTTTCAAAACTAATGAAAAGTGTTAGTATTTAATATGCAAAAAAGAAATCAAAATTTTAAGTCACCTATCTCTACTGAAAATTAGGGTTCCTTAATTTTGCTTAACTGCCAAAGCAAAAAAATAATTAACGCCTCAAATGGGAAAGTGGGCACTGTCAGCATCATATCAATGACTTCTGCACAAATATGTGAGGAAATAAAGATAATGGTGACACATGCCATCAAATCAATCAACTGCTAGTTGAAAAATGAAATAAGTAAGTTTCATAAATCTGTGGGCCCAGTCACTCAGTCGTGTCTGACTCTTTGCAACCCCATGGACTGCAGGCCACCAGGCTCCTCTGTCCATGGAATTTCCCAGGCAAGAATACTGGAGTGGATTGCCGTTTCCTCCTCCAGGGGATTTTCCAGACCAAGGGATCGAACCCACATGTCTTGCAATGGCAGGTGAACCACTGAGCCTCTATCAGTCTGACTTTGTTCTCCCTACCTTAGCTTTTCAAACACACACACACACACACACACACACACACAAATGAGTTCTTTCAAAAATGTTGATTAAATTCTCAATACCCCATTTCTCAACCTGCTAAAGAGAGTAACAGCTGCTTCCTACAGGAGTGTTCTTAGGTCATTAAATAATTAATGATACCGGGCAAGGGACAACTCTCCTCTGGCTTGCTTCTCTCATTTCTCTAATTAGGGGACTGAACTCCATGATCAAGGTCCCTGGCAGCTCTAACAACTTGTCAGTTTGGGTACAGCAACAAAGAATATCACTATTAGCACACACATCTCAAGGGTTGATAGGAAGTCTAATACTTAAGGCAGTCACTGTAAAATGAAAAGGATCTGTACCCATAAATACTACGACTTACAAACTTCAGGAAGTCACCACTGCAACATGGAAAAAGTAAACCAGAAATAATACATGGAGATGTTCATAACAATATTCAGTGGAATGTACAGGGTATATATGTACACATAACTGCTTATAAGACTGTAATGAAATAAAACCAAAATGTTAACAATGGTTAACCTATGGATAATGAAATGAGTTATATTTTTCTTTTGTATTTATATTTGAGCATCTATAATTTATATAATCATAAAAGTTAACTCTTAAAACCCCATATAATTCAATCTAAGTTGCACCATGTGACTGCTTACATTTTTGTGAAGAGATATTTCCAAATTTATGTCCAAATGTACAAATAAAGACCTAAAAGACACGATTTAGCCAACTATCCCAGAAGGAACTTCCACCATTCGGCCTGGACTGTGTGGAACACAACAATGGAAGAACATCTGCAGCTAAGTAATAGATTGATTTGGTAACATTTACAAAACCAGCCATGGGATCATGCTTACTGAGTAATCCCTAAGATTAGGCGTGCTCACTAGGAACAACCCGAACAGTTTTTCTGGGTTTTGTTTTGTTTTGTTTTGTTTTGTTTTAAGGGAGAAAGGGAGGAAGGGGAAAGCAGGTTCCCCAGTATAATTACCTTTTTTAGATAACAAGCACTCCAAAAAATCTTCTTTGAAATTTGAACTGCCAAAATAAATCAAACTTTCTAGGTGGAGAAGTCTTCGTCAATCAAATGAGACCCAGCAAGTTTCAAGATAAACTAGTAATAGCAATCTGTTACATACTTACTTAGCTGTGCTAACTATGCTAGTCCCTAACTAGCACAAAGGACTTCAAAAACTTTAGCTATGGAAAGTAGAGGATGGGGCCAGAGTTCCCTCAGGGTTGGCAGGCTTCATTCTCAGTGGAAAAGTAACTACCCATTCTTATCTTTGCAGTTTCTCTCTACTGGTGCACCCTCCCTCATCTGAAACCTAAAAATATTTGTCCTGGGTTTTAATTCCCACATCCCCATATATTATATAATACATGTTCACTCTAGGAATCTGGAAGTACAGAAAAACAGGACGAAGGTTTCCATTCACCTAGAAACATCCACTGTTAAAAAGGTGATGTGTTTCAACTTCTTCTATCCATAAGTAAGTGTTAGTCGCTCAGTCGTGCCCAGCTCTTTGCGACCCCACAGACTGCAGGCTCCATGGGGACAATGGAGGCTCCAGAAGAGTAGGCTCCTCTGTCCATGAGATTTTCAGGCAGGGACACTGGAGTGGGTGCCATTTCCTTCTCCAGGGGATCTTCCCAACCCAGGGATGGAACCCAGGTCTCCTGCACTGCAGGCAGATTCTTTACCGACTGAGCTACAAGGGAATATGAAACCTACAAAGTTAGAGGGCTGTAGTTTACACAGTATAGACCTGCCTATTTTTCATTTCTGATATTTCATGATCATAACACTGACAACTTTTAAAAAATAAAGAACTGGTTCCTAACTAACATTTTCAGAGAATGTGGCAAAATCTTCTTCAGGGTCCTTGACCTTAGCATAAAGCTAGGGAATACCATGTATTCAACTGAGATGACCAATGGGTACCAAAGGCATAATTTCTTTCTATCTGACATCAGGTTATAATGCTATAATACTCTTAGATTATGTGTTTAAGTATTTAAATAGAATAATGAAGTGAATGGAGAAGGCAACTGCACCCCACTCCAGTACTCTCGCCTGGAAAATCCCGTGGATGGAGGAGCCTGGTGGGCTGCGGTCCATGGGGTCGCGAAGAGTCGGACACGACTGAGCGACTTCACTTTCACTTTTCACTTTTATGCACTGGAGAAGGAAATGGCAACCCACTCTGGTGTTCTTGCCTGGAGAATCCCAGGGACGGGGTCGTACAGAGTCGGACCCGACTGAAGTGACTCAGCAGTAGCAGCATGAAGTGAATGGTCCCCATACAACACTGTAAATTCAATTTGTTTCTATGTTTCCAGGTAAAAAGTTTTGCTTTACACAATGAAAGATTATGCCGCCAATTTTAAACGCATTTGAAGTCAACCTAACAAAGGAAGATGTACAAAATACACTGTTTATAGGGAAATAACAACATAGAGGAATAACAGGTTAACAAACAGAAGGTCTATGCTGTAGTCCAACTTCTGCAAAACTAGGAATATGTTTTTCACAGACAACAGAAATGAAAGACTATGTACCTAAGTGTTCACAGTGATTATGGGTAGGTAGGTAGGATGAGGGCTTCCCTGGCGGCTCAGACAGTAAAGAATCCACCTGCAATGTGGGTGACCTGGGTTCAATCCCTGGGTTGGAAAGATCCTCTGAAGGAGGGCACAGCAAACTACTCGAGTATTCTTGCCTGGAGCACCCGCATGGACAGAGGAGCCTGGTGAGCTACAATGCATAGGCTTGCAAAGAGCTGGACATGACTGAACAAGTAAGCACAGCACAACACAAGGAGGATGAAGAATTTATCAATACATCCTGACCTTTGTTTTTTAAGAGATACTTTGCTAAGGAGAAAAATGTATATAGAACACAGACCATTTGCCAAGGCAATCTCATATTTGTCAAAGAAGCCAATAGAATAATGAGAAACAGATAATGGACATCTGGGCAATCAAAATCCTATTATACAAAACACACTTCTAAGACTTCCTGAGAAGGGGCACTGATGGTAGCAGCTCCACCTTCTAAACTGGTGCGGGGGCTCACAGGTGTGGCTTGCCCTCGCCCTGGGCACAGCTGGGCCGACCTGCAGGGGTGGTGTGGCCTTGGCTCCTAGAACTTTTTTTCGTTTTCAGGTTCTCCCCCGGATTCTTGATTTTAAAAGGGACCTTTGAAAGTTTCGTTTTGCCCCGGGTTTGCCCATTTTTTAACCCCCCTAATTGACCACAGGCTTCAAAATACCATAACCCAGCATTTTTTTTTATTATCCTATATCCTTCAGTTAGTTATCCCGGATTTCCTCTCTCAAAACAGTCAGTGAAAACACATTTATTCGGAAAAACAGGATGATAGGAATAGATAAGGTCAGAATTAGACATAACCATGTCTGAGTCAGTTAAAAATATAAAGTGTTGAATATTTTAAAATCACCACTATTGAAAGGATTCTTTAATAAAATTCTGTTCTTCTGATTCTTCCACTCCTGACCAGCAGGGCCAGCGTCCTAATTCAGGAGTTAAATCAAATCACTTCTAGATTCTGGAAACATCTGGAACCATCTTATCCTGCCTACCATCTCTCTCTCGTCTCCCCATTCTGTCCATTCTAACCTGCACACACAGAATATGTAATTCATTTTGACACATCACTTTCACTGGGCCACCACTCACTTCACAAACCAGGGATTCTTCAAGCAGAAGCCAGTGTTCATGAGAGATGCAGAATGAGGAACTTGGCACCGTGGAAGCAGGAGTTCCCCTGAGCTAACTGCTCCAGGTCTGACGCAGGAAATACTGCAACAGAATCAGGTGGGGTGCTTGTTTATAAACATTAATTCCTCATAAATGTTCATGGCAGCATTGTTCATAAATGCCAAGAACAGAAGAAGCAACCCAAACAGTTATCAATTTCAAGATAAATAAATATGGTATACGTATACAATGGAAAATTATTTGGCAATAAAAAGGAATGAGGTACCGACATGTGACAGAACATGAATTAACCTTGAAAATACTATGCAAAGGGGAAAAAGCCAGTCACAGAGGGCCACGTACTGTATAGCTTCCTTTTTATGAAATGTCCAGCATAGGTGAATTTTTAGAGACAGAAAGTAGATTGGTGGTTGCCTGGAGCTTGGGCAGGGTGGGGTGGAGGGGAGGGTGCGCATGACAGAGTAACTGCTAATAGGTAGTACAAGACTTCTTTCAGAAGGTACAAAAATGTTCTAGAATTTGATAATGTTGGTAACTGTACAACCTTGCCAATATGCTAAAATATATATTGAAATTGACATCTTAAATGAGCAAACTGTATGATGCAAATTATTTCTCAATAAAGCTGTTTAAAAATCCAGATCCTTCAATTCCACCTCAGAACTACTAAATCAGAATCCCCAGGAGTCCATTGACCTGGATATCTTCCCTCTGAACAAGGCAGGTGATGTGCATTTTCAGAAAAGTCCTACAATACACTATACCATGTCTTAGATCTTCCCTAATGCTATATATAGAGGCTAGGTATCATATTCTGTAGCTCGAAAACACTTTTCAGGCCAAAAAAATCCTCTACAGTCGCCTGCCTATATAAATGTATTTCCTACTCTGTCCATATACCTCTCCCTCCCACCAGTGTCACGACTCCCCCAGAAGCATGCGATGGCTGAAACTGTGCTCATGTTCATCTCCTCCTCCTTCCTAGGACATTTACCTTTGGTCCAAGCCTTCAGTTCAGTCGCTTAGTCGTGTCCAACTCTTTGCGACCCCATGGACTGCAGCACTCCAGGCGTCCCTATCCAAGGCTTATCTGCTGCTTAACGCTACCTCAAGATTACTCCAGTTTAGAGTGACTTCCACTCAGAGCTCTTTGGGCCTTCCTACCCTCAAGTGTGAAAGAAGAGTGATGGACTGCTCGACTTTCTCCCATATCTGATAGTTGAGCCTCACTAAGACTCAAGAGACACTCCAGGCAACCAAATTTTCCTCATTCACTTATTACCTCCAAATAATGTGTTTTGGGCAAACTTCTCCCTGACCTGATGTATGAGGAAGTTAAACAACAACTTGATTTTTTTTTTTTTAAGGCAAGAGAACATGCACCTGTTAAAAGGTCCTCAGGACACTGGTATAGGACCCTGGCATGTGGTAGCGGCTCAGAAATTTGATGCATTCCTTGATACTCAAGAAGTTACTTCTTGTAAGCCAGAAAGATAAGACCAATACAGCATACTAACGCATATATATGGAATTTAGAAAGATGGTAACGATAACCCTATATGCAAAACAGAAAAAGAGACACTGATGTACAGAACAGACTTTTGGACTCTGTGGGAGAAGGCGAGGGTAGGATGTTTCAAGAGAACAGCATCGAAACATGTATATTATCTCGGGTGAAACAAATCACCAGCCCAGGTTGGATGCATGAGACAAGTGCTCGGGCCTGGTGCACTGGGAAGACCCAGAGGAATTGGGTGGAGAGGAAGATGGGAGGGGGGATCGGGATGGGGAATACATGTAAATCCATGGCTAATTCATTTCAATGTATGACAAAAACCACTGCAATGTTGTAAAGTAATTAGCCTCCACCTAATAAAAATAAATGGAGAGAAAAAAAAAAAGAAGTTACTTCTTTAGCTTCAGTCTATTCAGACTTCTAGGTTTGCTGAAGTTATCTACAGAGGTCTTCCACATACAGGAGACTTACACTCTGTACTGCTCCTGTTTGACATATGAAGGTTGCTATTCTTCTTTGCCAAGAGGACACAATCAACCCCTATTAGAAAAAGCACTAGGAAATTACAGAACCCATAATCCTATAATGCCTATTTCTAAATCTATAAAATATCAGACTCTTGTAATATCTAACACTTTTTTTCAGATTTTTACAAATTAAGGGAAAATGGGCACCTCTTCTTCAAACTGTACTCTTTTCATATGTTAATATTATATAAAACCTTGGTAATTCAAAATTGAGCAAAATCCCATCTATACATATATGAAGCATCTGCAACAACAAATATAAATGCAGTTAAAACTTTCAATAGCATTGCCAAGTGAAACTCCTACCTGCTCCACTTAACAGATAAGACATGTTTATACCTCTTACAATTGCTACTTCAAAAAAAATATTTTCCCATGGATGGACCTAAAGATTACCATACTGAGTGAAATAAATCAGAGAGAGGAACACAAATGTTATATGATACTGCTGATATGTGGAATCTTAAAAAAAAGGTACAAATGAACATATACACCAGACAGAGTCACAGATGTAGAAGACAAACTTATGGTTACCGGGAGATAGGGCTGGGGGAGGGATAAATTGGGAGACTGGGATAGACATAAACACACAACTATAGATACGAAAAAGTGAAAGCGTTAGTCGCTCAGTCGTGTCTGCCTCTGAGACCCCATGGACTGCAGCCCGCCAGCCTCCTCTGTCCATGGAATTCTCCAGGCAAGAATACTGGAGTGGGTTGCCATTCCCTTTTCCAGGGGATCTGCCCAACCCAGGGATCAAACCCACATCTCCTGTGTTGGCAGATGACTTCTTTACCATCTGAGCCACAAGGGAATAGATAACTAATAAGGACCTACTGCATAGCACGGGAACTCTTCAGTCCTCTGTATTGGCCTATATGGGAAAATAATCTAAAAATGAGTGGACATATATGTAACTGATCCACTTTGCTGTATGTACACTCGAAACTATCAACATTATAAATCAACTATACTCCAACAAAATTTTAAAAATAGTTTCCCAAGAACTTCAGAAGAATTTTATTTGATTCTACTGCGTTGTCCCAACTCCTTAACCCCAGTCTTATTTTAGTAAATTATTTCCCAAATTCTTCATAGCAATGAAGAGAGTACTAAAATGAAAACTTAAATCAGCTCTATTATTTTCAGTATCCAGATAAAACAAGGTAAAGGTTTAGTTTTAATCTTGTGAGCTGGAGCCTAAGTAAGGATATCCTTTCAGTTTATTTTCACAATCCCATCATGTTAGATGTGCTAAACATAGTGCTAAGGAGTACTACCCTGGAGAATCAGAAAACCTGGGTTACTCTGACTCCACCAAGAACTGTGTGTGTGTTCTAAGCACAAATCCTTCTCCGGCTCCCTAACAGGTGCTATTTGGTGAGAACCCTGGCTTTTTTTCTCAAGCCCACTCAAAGTGATTTGGTATTTGCCTGGATTACAGTGTTGAGAAAGCCTCACTGTCCCAGGTCAGTGAGAGTCAAGAGATGGCTACCAATGTAGTGAGATTTAAAAGTTGAGAAGATCCATGCCACATATTTGCCAGGCTTTGTGCACCAAGGCTCCCTCCACTCAGTTGTTCTCAATCAGAACTGAAGCAGTAGAAAAGAGAACATTATGTCCAATGCTGGACAAGCTTCCAGACGAAACCCTGAGCTCCACCTCTATTTTGTTCAACATTTCAAAGACAATAGTAAACTTCGAGAATTTTTAATCGACTGTTAAAAATTTTAATCAACACCTAATAATTAAGATATTAGAATTAAGCACACCGACTCAACTTATTTAACAGACAGTCAGGTCTGACACATTACCACAATCAGAGCACTACTACAAATGAATACATGTTGAAATCATATGTATGACTGAAGTCATATAAAGGTGAGTAGACAAACCTGGAAATTTCTTCCCTCAGTTTTCAAACATTTATTGGGTATCTTATGTACCTGGCACTGTGCAAACACTAGAAATACAGTTTTACACATTTGGCTAACTCTGTAAATGAGCAAAGATTTAAAAAAAAAAAAAAACCTTCAAATAATGAGTAGAGAGTGAGATTTCTCAAACCTCCATGTCCCTGATGTTTACAAAACAGTCTTATTGGAATCTTTTTTTTTTAATGCTCCAAGACCCTTCTGTCAAAGGTATTAAGATATTGCTATGATTGAAGTTATAATCTGAAAGCATCATACTGCTGAAGGTTCAGTAAATCTGACATTCAACTTGTGTGTGGCGTAAGTTGCCATCTACCCACTACCTTCAATCAATTGATGATTCAGTCCTGACCATCAAAGGGAAATCCTCCACCCGCAGCAGACAGCTGTGCCATGTTGCTTCCTGCTTCCAGCACGCACTAAAGAATTCTTACTGTTTTTTCATGGGGTCTAAGAAATTCCAGTAGTAGAATGTCTTGCCCCAATCTTATACTGTGCTCCTATAACATACCTTCGGAAACACGTTTTAATACATTCTAAAAGATGTGTTCACACATTCTTGATTCATAGATTTCATTCAGATATGAGAATTCATAAAGGAGATGATTTGTTCTGAACTAATTTTTACTTTGCAAAATCCTATGGGTATTAGTTACTGTGCGTTTAAAAAGCTCGCAGCCCATTGAAAATCCTTCTTATTCAAAACTAGTTCTGGAAATCCAACACCATGACCAGTCAGTTCTCTCTCAATGCCTTTTCTGTCCATAAGAGAGCTAATTTCCCTATCACATAAACCAGAACCCTGAATATTATTTGGCCATTGTCTATGCATCTTAAAAGTCTTATTGCTGGATACGTGAATAAAAATAGTTTTTTTTTCTACCCTCTATACAAGCTATTTGTTTTAGGCATTACATATCCTTAGGAGAATGCCTTCAACACAAATAATGAGATTGTACTTGTCAGCTACCTTTTGTAGAATTTATTTTTAAAATGATATCTAAATGATCAATCATGTTTCAAAACATACTTGTGAAGATTCAATTTTTCAAATTTGCTATATGTACACTATTGATATATTTCAATTTCTTAAAGCATTTCACA